GTTCAGGGATGTATAACGTGGTGATACTGAGGATGATGTCGAGTCGGAATTAAGTCGTCGAATCGATTATCGTCAGCCAAAAACAAATAAACAAAGTGGGATATTATAACAGGCCTTCCCAGGCGAAGAGGTGACTTTGTTGTAATGTAACCGTGTGGAGTGAACCACTGCTTGCTGTGATGAATACGGAGTCAAACGGAAACTGCTGTATTGAGCGAACAACAAAGTGAGGAAGGAAGAGAGTTCCAGAGGAACGAGAGCTTAAATACAGGATGCCAGCAGCGCGCACGTGACACATACTACATGCTGCGCTACACGTGATCAACCCCTAGTTCCTCCAACTCCGTAACACTAATGTAAATATCGCGTACAAGAGATACGTAGTTGTTACCTACATTCTATATCCCTCTCTTTTAGAATAAAATTAATCTAAAAGCGTTAAGTTATATAACTAAAATCCTTCTATGACGCTAGATAGAGAATTTAGAATAATTCTTACTACTTACCTGTTATTAGGCCGGGTATATTAAGATTTTATTTTGTTTATACTAGAATGTTAGAATAATAAGTTTATATGGAAATACAGAGAGGAATAAGGAGGGAATTTCTTTATTATTGGATTCTTATTAGCGCTTATATACTTTTATTTACTTTTCTTTTTTTTTAAATAACGCTAGTTTTGTAATTATAGTTTAATATTATAGTTAACTATAGAGGAAGAAGAAAAGATAAGAGCTTATAGGTCAAAGATTAATTAGGAATAGAAGTTATAATATAATAGGCTAGCCGGTTTAGAAAAGGCTTCTATTTTATTCGAGTAAAATATAAAATATAACCGAGTTAATAACTTAACGAAATTGCTATACGTAAATTCGACATACTCGAATCCGTCGAAAACCCGAATCCTTCTAAAATCTATAATTCTAATTTTTACTCTACTCTCCTTAGAGAGTAAAATGAAAGGATTACTATAAACGTAACGTAGCCTAGCTAGAAAAAAACACTATATTACTTTATCCTATATTTCTAGATTTTATATCTATTCTTCTAAAGGTATAAGAGTATACTAAGAAGTAAAAGTCTATGTGGAAAGATCTGTCCCTTTCTTTTTTAGCCTTAATTTCAAGGTAATAGTATAAACTCCAAGGAAGAGGAATAGAACAGGAAACGTATATATTCTATATAGACGGTTTATCCATAGAAGGAGATGAGATAAGGCCTTTATTTACTACGATTCAGAGTATTAGGGTGTACCTAGGTAGGAAGTTATTTAGTATAGTACAAAAGGCGTAAGGATTGATTCTAGGAAGGGGTAAAAAGCATAGATTTTGATAAATTAGCAAATTGATAGAACAAAGTTCATATCAATTCGACTGTAATAATAACTAGTCGATGTTACTGAAACATGAAGTATTCTCTCTTATATTTACATTAGGGGTCATAGGCTTCTGGCCTGTAATTATGCCAGCTAGATCTACTAGATCTTTCGTTCAGGCAGGACTCAGGAGCGAAAATGGGCTTGAGGTGGTGGCTTAGTCTATAAAGTTGCACCAAAATAAGCAGCATAGTTACACGGGTGGCATTAAATATGCTCGGTGGCTGTCCTTTGCTCAGCTCCATATAAAAGTCTTGAACTATCTTCTCACCCGAGATCAATCCATTACAACTTTGCCCCTTCAAACAGCTCCTATCTTCATAAGATATTTCATCGCGATGGCAGACCCAGTATCTGCGTTCTCCGGCGTGGCGGCAATACTTGGCCTTGTTCCGGTTCTTCATTCCACCAAACGTCTATATGTCTTCTTCGGCGAATTAAAAGACGTATCCAAGAACATTCGACGCTTGCTTGCAGAAGTGGAGACAATGGAGCTGTTTCTCGAGGAAGCGCGTGAATATTCTAAGGTTTTGGAATCTTCAGCACTTGCTTTCGAAGACAAGATCCACATTCCGGGAGTTATCAGGGCTCTCAATTCGTGTCACCTTGAGCTGACTGCTTTGCATTCTTGTGTCAAAGATGCAGACATCAACGACACAGAGGGGAAAGTAAAGAGAATGGCAAAGAAGATGAGGTTTGTATCAAATCACGAGGAAGACATATCACGCCCGCTACGAAACATCGAGACGTCTCGAAAGAACCTCGGCACTGCCCTTTTGATTTTCAATGGACGCTGTAATATCAGCCTGCAAGAGCAAATCAGAGCGGCACGACATGATGTTTCCAAGCTCGAATCTGCTTCCAAAACACAGTTCGATGCACTTCAGGCTATGGTATCAGATACTTCAAGACGGACCCAACAACTGTTAACCTCAGATATACAACAAACCGCCAAGGAGACTCAAGTGAAGCCCCAAGGGAGCGTCCTCACTGCGAGCGTTGTTACTGATGAAAAACTCTCTGCTCTCGCTAATTCCATTGGTATAGCGTCGCTACAAACAAAAGAGGCCTTACAATATATCCAGAACAACACTGATCAAACGATGGAATATTTGCGAAACGGTCAAAACTTTATACCATCCCAAATGCTGGCCAGACGAGGACATAAAAAGGCTTCTCGGAAGTTCCATAGCCCACACAGCGCATCAAGACTCAAAACCCACCGGCCCACCAAACTTGCGGATTCTGCCAAGACTTTAGCGATGATAAACAAAAAACTTGAAGACATCGATACCAAATTTGCCTCCATTACAATTTCCTCAGACCCTACAAGACTCAAAGAAGCTACATTTGAAGGTTTCAATCTTACCGGTGTCACTCTTCCTTTAATGCTCGTCAGGCCCAGTTTATTAATGATACTTCAATCTTTGATTTCTGGTGAGCAGCTCAAAGTCTCCCAATCCGATGTTAACTTATTTTCGTCACAACTTGGAGAGTTATTGTGTGAATGCTATGAAGCTTCAGTAAGAGCTGGCTCCTTCCACAAACCGGACCAGTCTTGGACTGCAAGTCCACAACGGAGAACTACACACGAGTCTACTTTTTCCACGACACCGTCCGAAGCGAAGCAAAATAGAGAAGTACGATGGTTCTCTCGACAAACGCCAGCCGGGTTACTCTTGCTTGAGATAGAAACCTGTTCTCCCGACGTCAACAGAACCACCGTTATTTGTGGGATATATTTCGCTTTTATACCAAATAGAGATATTGTCCGTCAAGGAATATCGGTTGTCTTTGAAAAGTGAATAGGCCTTGCGTCGCAAAATACGGTTTCACGAAATATTCGGGTATTGATTATACTGAGTCCAAGCGCAAAGGACGAATTGGAATTCATTTTGAAAAAGGACGATGTGGTAGGACTCAAAAAGAGTCTTTAAGAGCGAACCGTTCAACCCTGGGACCGCGCTGGTGATGACGGTTTTTCTCTGTTAGAGGTTTGTAGAGAGAACGTCTGACCCTTGTTCCTTTTGCTAATGAAGATAGTGGTGTAATGTCTTTGATAGCTACAAGTGTCTTGAGCTTCTATTCCATTCAGGAGGAGATATGAAACAACCAAGCCCGTAAGCGAAACGAAATCCTATGCCTTGATGCTTTTCTAACATAACGATTTAGTTCCTTTGTCCCACTTTTCTCGGTCATTTGGGCATTTCTTCTGGAACCTAGATCCTCCTTCGTCTCTTACGTAAAGGTATCCCAATTGGTTACTACGCATGGCGCCAATCTCGAGGACGCCTTCCTACACCCCCACCTACTCTATGTCCCTTCTTTGATATGTTCAAAATCAGAGATCACGGGGCTAATGTGTCAATACTTAATTCAAGGAGGCTGCAATAGCGAGAACAGGAACAATCGCGGGGAAACACCACTTTTGTTTTCGGCGTCTCGCTTCGGGACCAACAACAACTTGTGGATTCGGGCTCTGCTAGAAAATGGCTGTGACAGAGCCGCCGTGGATGAAAGAGGGAGAAGTGCGCTACACCTTTCGCTTCTGGTCTGCAACCAGCACCGTCGTGTGTCGTCACAAACGTTGAAGTATATAATCTGGGAAAAGGTTACAATGCTTTTGAGATCAGGCTGTGACCCATATTTCGAGGACTCAGCTGGGCTGACTCCTTCGGATTATGCCGCGATCAATGGTCTCTGGTCAATCTGGAGGGCCGCAATGTTGGCTTCTGTAAGTGAAGATAACGGTGCTAGGGGATTAAAGAGACCAGGCGCTACACTAACTGCAACGAAAATGCCGGATGTTGATTGGTGCTCTGCAATATGGTGTTACTACTGCGAAAGTATCACTCAACATGGTCTTTGTACCGATGTGTATTGCGACTTACATGTCAAGTCTGGAGATGGTTGTGCTTCCATGGCAGCAGATTAGGTCTCGAATAAGTAGGAGTAGATCTTTGACTGTAATATCGAAATCTTTTTCTGTGTGGAGCTAGGTTTCAATATTTGATTACTGTCGTCTGATATACTAGAAATAAAAACGTCTTCGAAAAGTGTTAGGATAACAAGGACGAATTATTGAATCCGTGTATTACAGGTCATGGATAAATCTAAGAAGCTTCTCAGATCGATTAACTAGCTCAAAAAACCGCTTTTCTTTCAACTAGATTTTAGTTTCTGAGAGGTATTCTAGTAGAACCTCGGTAGAGTTACTCACGGTAGAACGTTCTAGAGTATGCTGAAGCTTTGACTAGATATATATAAGTAAACATTTACTGAAACTCCAGTTCCTAAACTTCTAGCCTTAAAAGTAGATTGAGAAGACTTTTGCCAATAAGCTTATAATAACGCCTTCTGCACTTCAAACTCTTTAACCAACTTTCTAGCTAGTCTGAACAATTCCGCAGAATTAGAGAAACTGTTCTTGAAAACTCAGAGCAGACAAGAAGATTGAAGAAGTTAGGAAATTTTTTTCAAATACTATGTTTACGGAACGGATGTAAGCGTATCAGGCACAGAATCATTAACTTTTAATCACGAATAAGCACGTAAGTACTTAAAGCAGGTAATAATTTAGATGTAGGTTTTGAATTATCGACAGTACGACGTCGTTTAGAATTCTTTTTATCTATACAGTTATAGGAGAGTGCTCCAGTGATTCTTTCATGAAAGAAAATACGATCTGGGTTATCTGAGTCATTCTACTTATAGTATCTAATAAGTTACCAGAGTCATACGACTTAACTGACTTATCCGCCACAAATCGACCTGTCTAATCTCCATCCTTACCAGCCAATTCTTCCGCGGCGAGGATTTGATTTGATATGTATACGGAGTAACATAGGGTGTGTTTTTCTCTCCTCGTCCTCTCCCTCAATGACCCATAGAGCATTCTTGGTACCATCAAATGCAGCGAAATCGCTGGGCTTTGTCGCAGTACCATTAGGAAAGTTGTCGTATTGTTCAAAGGGACGAAAAGAGTCCCGTAAAAACGTTGACTTGCCTCCCGCATTATCTATGAATGACACACCAAATCCCTGCTGTACAAGTCTCTCTCCAATAGATTATGTTCCGGGTTTTGAGCAAGAACTCGACTCCCAATATCTTACCATTTTCAGAACCGCCGCCATATGGAATCCACTGATCGACCCATGGAAGAAGCCTTCTGTATCCTTCCTCCTCAGACTAAGACAACTTGTTTTACATTAATCTACTCATCCCTGATCTTTAAAAATATATCCGTGACCACTTGGCACTCCAGCGTTCCCACACATCTTCTGGTATCTCAGGAACCGCTTACAAAGCTCATCTAAGGACTATTATAGGAAGCGCAGATATTTTGCTTCAAGGCGGTCCGGTATCTTGAAATGAAAGAATTTAAGTGGTACTCAAAGGATATTTTCGTTCAACTATAGCATCGATTCTGTAATCGTTTGCCCGAGTCCAAGGATTTTTTTAGCACCGTACCTTGGGATCGGTTCTACACTTACCAAGTCGTGCACCTGTGAAGGTTTGGCTATGTCTCGAAAGCATTCATACTTTATGGCAGGATTGTCTTTGCGGCTCTGGAGGCACCGGTGATGGGGACGCGATCAGTCTCTTCGTTATAAGTTGCTACTTCTCTGCCATTTTACGACTTTTGTATGAGTTGCATATATGGAGAAAATGGGTGGCATCTGTCAAGAATGAATGATCAAATCAAATCAATGTTCATTATTGCTCAAAGGCATATCATAAAAATGGTATATTGAGGGTAATAAAAACCTTGGTGATATTGGTTTGGAGATAGCTAGTTTGCATGGCTTTATAAAGACAGCATATGCCTTTGTGTAACGAAGAGAGTCCGGATGTTCGATTTTAGTATAAGTTATTATATTTCGGAACATGGAACCATGTAAGGGGGCACTAATCAAAAATATAATATAAAACTGCTTCCGTAGAATGAAATTGATCGCTCAATTGACATTTACTCAACCGTGGTAGAAAGGAGACGGGCACTACTGCTAGATTACTAGCGGGGACAATTTAACTGAATGGACGTCTGTATGAATTAGATACGCCATTATGGTGTTTTCAACTTCTTTCAACCATATCAGTGCACCATGGTAGGGGATTGATTGCCTGGGAATCTTCTCCTTCAATTGCTGTGACGAAACATTATTGATACAGTCGAATATATACACCAACATTTTATCAGGCAGAATTCGATGCGCCTCTCTGCTTTGCATCCATGAAGCCTTCATCTTCGCTCACCTCGTCTCCCTTTGAGGACGACGCAGTCACCAGCCTTGCCTCTCCAAAGTCGTAATTTCTATCCCGATCCAATTCCGCCTTGATTTTCTTCAAAACCCGTACTCTCTCCGCTTCCTCAGCCTCTGTAAATTTTACAGGCGGTAAGCCCAATTTCACCCTTTCCCGCCTGAATCGATCCATGACCATGGGGGTGTGCATAATCATCCACCTCAACTTCCACCCACCCACACCCAACTCCTTTATCCTCCTCGGCTTCTCTCCCAGTAGATACTCGTCCAAGCCTCCACACTTGTCAATCGTCCTCAGGACCCTTGGTGTGACACGAATTCGAATCATCGAATTCAGAGAAGGGCTGAATAACCGTCGCATCTGTACATTGGGAAGCCAACGCCTCCTCGTCTTGATTTCGTTCTTTTTTGACACGATATTTCCGTACCGGATCTTGGCCATGCCATATAGACCCCCGTTCGATTGTTTGTACCACTGCGAAGCTCCGTATGGGTAGGGAGGGACCTCATCATCGCGAGGTAGCTTGGTGTGCCTTGCTAATAGCGTGCTGGAAGCTGTGAAGGTGCGGTGTTGGTGTTGGGTGAGGGATTGACGGAGAAACGCGCGCAGAGGCGCCATGATGCTATTCATGTCAGGCGACGAGCGCCAATTGAGGATAACCCGCGACTGGCTTCAGTATGAGTATGAGCGAGATTGGGCGACTCGGTAGGATTGATCTGAGTGTACTGTATATGTATGGACCGTGAAGCTGAATTGGGCGTCCACTTGTGTTGGAGCTTTGGTGGTGAGCTCTATCAACTTATTTTTCATGGCCTGAGGCAACCTCCGGGGTTCGTCCGCGCTGCTCTCGGTCACATGGATACTGCCCCTCCAAATGTCCCCTGCAGATTCCGACGGGACTTGATGGTTTGAACATATCCTGGAGCAAAATTCCATTTTTCTTCAGAAAGACCTTGCAATATTGTCGAATACACATGCCGAAACAATCCCTTAAAAAGGTACCTAACGATAGTCGTTGTGTCACTTATAAATTATCTAGATTGTGAGTTTTAGATTTTAAACTCAGGTATGTCTCTTGAGTCTAGGAAGATCTATATTGCATTTCAAGGCATACATCATAGTAGGTAATGTTTGGCAATACAACTATCTTTCAGATTTTGTTCGTTTTATATACTGACTTTTGCTTCAGCTAATTGTCAAGCGAGCACAGAAAAGTTCCTCCTGGGATGTTACAAGAACCTTTTCTTACCACAACAGGCTGCAATGATTTTGAGCGAAGTAGAATGTCAGGGGCTTTGCTTTTCAAGCGGAGGTATTCTGCGCAACCTGGAATGGAGGATGAAATGAACTATTCCAGGATATTCAAATGAATCATTCATAGAATTCTGGAAGCGTGATGAGAAGTGTCAAGGACAAAGTGCTGTGGAACTATCATTACGACCATCCCCATCTTCTGGTATTAGGACTACAAACACACAATCCTGTATGGCCCAAGAAGAAATGGTTCTCAATGAATAATCGGCTTCCAAAATTAGACCTCCATGGTATCAACCAAACTCCAAAAGTATATACAAAGCAAAAACACTGCCGAGCTCATTCCAACTCGTGTTTGATCTCCCCCACTTTACTATCGGTATACCGTGTAGGAAGCGAAATAGATTTGACCTCTAAGTTCCTCCCCTCTCGAACCGGCACAGGACGACGCCGTATCGCATCACCAGGAAGCTCAGTAATCAAAACCTGAGAACTATCAGCCTCCGCAAACCCAGGGACAATCGATCGCGGGGTCTCTCTAGGTGACTCCATACCATCGCTCGGACAAATCAGAATCTGGAACTTGTTGGACCCCTTCTTTGCGTTCTCGGGTAGCTCTAGCCAAGCTTGGAATCCCTTGTTCAGAAAATTGTTCGTGTTCCAATTTCGGAGGATCGTTCGTAGTTCGCCCTCACCCGACAGCTTCTCGGTGACACTTCTTTCAACGGCCTTTCTGTGCACCTTTTTGCCGGCCCAGATTCCTGCCGATGGTGCGAAGACGAGGAGGAATGGTGAACTGAGTGTTCCTGTTGTGATACCTGTTGTCCATGCTCCCCAGTCTTCTTTCAGTGTGAGTTTCGATGCTTTGACCATCTCGCTACTGAATTGGAACCATTCCTCGTTTGATACTCGTAAAGTGTGTAGTCTTTCATCGTAGGTAAACCCTGATGATAGTGATTCGGTTTTGGTTGGTATACGAAATCTTGTCCAGCTAGGCGTGAATAGGGAACCTTGAATTGAGCCTTCATGGAAAGCGACGTCTGGTGTTCCTACTTCTGTCGGAGGTGGTGATGGGGGATATTGAGCCACTGTTGCTTGTGGTGCGTACTGAGGAGGTAAAGTCGACGATTGGCTTAAAGAAGGGTCATGGTCTCTGTGCTCGTTTAGTATAGACTAAAAGATTCGACAGCTAACACTTACGGTTGTATATTAATAGGGGTTGATTCGGCAGGTACTCGGAAGGGATTGCTCCCATCAACAGGAACTTGTGACGCATCGAGTTGGGTGTCGGAAGGTATATCATGAGAGCTTTGCCGTTGGTACATGAATTTTGAATCTACAGGAAACTGCGAATTTATGGAGGACGACGCCATAACGAAGGATCTTGTATTTTTGTGTGTGACAACTTATACCTTAGAAAACGTTACTCGTACGGGTGGAATGATTGAAAGTTGAGATACTTGGAAATGAAAATAAGTAACCAGTAGGGTCAAGCAGAACTTGAAAATTGAAAATTAGTACATTTCCATCTTATGGGGCGATGCTTAATTGACAACTATTTATACAAGCCGTCTGCGGCGCAGCTTCTTTCCATAATTGGTGCCTTAGTCTGTGCCGCAATCAACAGGATGATCATGATGTTAGTGGCAGGATCAGCGGGAGGAAGAGCTCAAACGCGGCGTTATCTTCGTCCGTGTGTAAGCAATATATTAATGGTGTGTAGCATGATCATTAGTAATAATTCCAGCAAACTCAATTTCTGTTCTTTGCAAGACGCAAGAGGCTGTGTTCGATATGTGTGTGCTCGAACATCCGAACCATAACAGGAGCAATTATATCATGGCCCAATATCAGAAAGTACATAGTCTCTTTTGAAATAACCATCATTGTGAGGCTGAGATTTTGGCTCAGCCGCCAGAAACGATGGAGGAGCTCTGGCATATGGACCAAGCTGACTGCATTAGATCTGACATGAGGTGGATCTAGCGTAGCCAATAGTTATCTTGATTTTCTGAATTATTTTGAGTAGATCAGCTTTGACGATCATTATTTGGTCGATTCTAAAAGTAAGATCTGAACTCTTATTAATAAGTCCTGGTTCTATCTATCAAAGCTGGCTATTTTTGTCAGATTTATAGAATATATTAGAGGGTACATGCTTACAAATTTTATTTTTTTAGAGTTGAAAATAAGAGTTAAAGTACTAGGAAGGTAAGAGAGTTAGTTACACTTGTAAAGCACTTAAATATATAGACTGGGCGACTTGATTGCGGTTTACTGTAAGATCTTCAAGTCGGTCTCGTTTGTCGGACGAGTACACTGTAGATTTGGGCTGATATTTGCGGAACCTACGGCGGCTGGGCTCGGGCGGAGACAAGCACCGGCCGTCTGTCGGCTCGGGATCGGCATCAAGCGGGTCCGTACCTTTCTTGAACTACCGAGAACATCATCATTGTTTACTTTCTGCTTCAACTACCAGCACCCACTCCCACACCCACCCAACCTTTGAAATGCTGCCTCCAATCGATGAAGCAATTCTGCAGTCAAATCCCAAATATGCTGCTCTTCATGCAAATCTCACCAGCAATATTTTGAATCCCAATGGATCTACCAGAAACCCCCCTTCACAGAAGGAGAGGGATGCCAATTTCCCCGTAAGTGCCCCGCGTTCAATCTATACGAGGGATCAGCTAAAGGTCCCCCAAACAGGCGTTAAAAGAAGCGAGAATGCGATCTGCAAAGTCCCATCTTCTTCTGACGGCCCTACGCAACCTCGAGCTTATATCTCCTTCCACGACGAAACCCTCCAAAGCCCAACCAAAACCGCCTCAGCAGCCGCTACCCTCAGAACTTGTCGAACTCATCCTTCTCCTGACCTCGCGACTATCCGCAACTGAGATTTCTCCTGCGCATATCAAACTACTGGAATCCACGCCCCAATGGCGGTCGCTCCACTCTCATCTCCCCTACCTGGGTACCCTCCTCTCTACCTACTTTGTGACCCAAGCGTCAGCCCTCACACGAATCCTCTCACCGACCACAAATGCCTCATTCGTGCACCGCAATATCCCCAAACTATGTCCATCTATTACTGCTCTTCAGCAAGAGCTAGCCACCAAGAAGGAATCCCTCCATAAGAGGCGCAATGATTTGACGACCCAAACGACCCTGCTGCTGCAATGTTACCAATTCGCCATAACCTTGACAATACAGTTATTAGAGACCTCCAAGCACGGATCCTTGTCCCTCGAGCGTCACTATCAAATCAAGATCAATCATCTTACCCTCGAAGTAGAGAAGGTCGAGCTGGCCGCGAGGGAGAAGGCGATTAAGGGCGAGAAACTTGTCTATAATCCCCAAGTTGTAGATGCTTTGGTGCGATATAAGGAGAATTTACGAGACGCGAGGGACAGGATGACGGATCGCAAGAAGCAGGCTGAGAGAGTGCTCTGGGGGTATGGGATTGGTCGGCGAGAAGATGAAGGTGGTAGGGAAAAGGAAAAGGTCATGAAAGAGATTGCCAAAGTATATGGAGAATTAAATAAGGAAGTGAGGGACGTGGGGAGAGATGTTGACAGGTTGAGAGGTAAATGAAATGTGATGATGGATGTTCCAAGGGCAGCCTCGAAGGGCATCAACAGGACGCCATTCGAAGGACGGGAGGACCATCTCAGAACTCAACAAATATGGGAGATACCATCTCTTACCTCACAGGTGGCTAACGCACTAATGCCAACTCCGCATCCGTGGGAATTGTGCGATACAAGTATATGACGTGCGCGTGGGATTGATATCAGCTTCAAGGGTATGGAGGTTGCAAAATATCAATGGATCAAGGAGTGATATTTCGCTAGCCGTACGGCGCGATTTGCGCGATTTTCAACACAAATCGCATACTCGAGTATAACTTAAATGATCTACCTGCTCTGTTTTCAGGCAGAGAAATATTTGCTGCCAATGATCCCAAACCATAAAGTTCTACACAGGATTTACTTCATGATATTGAATTATCGCAATCGGAATTCTGGCATAATATTCTCGACCCCTGGTGCTGGTATTGAGTTTTCTCTGGCTTACAGAAGATAAGACCTCTTCCGTCTACCATGACGTTACTGTAGCCATGCTGCCTTGAATACTTTTGTACCTATGTTACTTGTGAGCTTCTGTACAAGTTGATTCTTGCTTCAAGCTTATTTCCACCTAATTCATTCTTGGTGACAATGTTTACAACATTCGAGGAAGACTAGACCAATTTAGTCAAATATAATGAATAGTTTCCATCTTGTTGCTTCTAGTGTTGGCCGTTTGGCTATCAACGTGAGTGGGATAAGTGGGAGGGCCCCCAATTAGTTGCCCGATCGAATCTTCACGTGATTACGCCTTGGCTTCTCTCCTTTTAATATCTGATTGTTCGCCTACTCTGAAGGTTCGCATAGTCAATTCTGGTTTTTCTTGTTGTGATTTGAGGTTGATTTGAGGCTGTCGCCCATCTGTTAAATAGACCTCGACTTGTATTTATTGAAGCTCCTATTATAAGAATCCTTGATCACGAAATGACGCAACGGAATCTCCGAATCGGAGTAGATGTTGGCGGGTACGATCTTTTTGTCTCTTGTAAACTTTCTAAACTAACCAGAAATATAGAACTAACACGGATGGAGTTATTCTTGATCCAACTCGCTCATCGGAGCCAGGACGGGGTATTATCGCCTGGCACAAAGTCGCAACCACCACCAATCCAAGTGAGGGCATCAACAATGCAATCACAGCTATGTTTAAGGAATCCAAAATCCAGCCTGATGATGTTGCAAGTGTCACCATTGGCACGACTCATTTCATCAATGCAGTGGTAGAGATGGATCGGGCAAGACTTGCCAAAGTCGCCATCATGCGCTTGTGTGGTCCTTTTTCAAGAGGTGTCCCGCCGTGTGTGGACTGGCCTCCTCAGCTGCAAAGGTTGATGATGGCATATCAGTGTTTTGTTGTTGGAGGTCTGGAAGTAGATGGGAGTCTGATTTCTGATATTGATGAGGATCAGATTCGGAAGGAGGCGGAGATTATAAAAGAGAAGGGCATCAAGAGTATTGTTGTGAATGGGATCTTCAGTCCGGTGGATGTGGTGTATCGGCAAGAAGAGCGGGCAGCTGAGATTATCGAACAAGTTCATCCGGATGCCGATATTGTCATTTCGAAAGATTTTGCGAATCTGGGATTCTTGGAGAGAGAAAATGCTGCCATTTTGAATGCTTCGATTCTGTCATTTGCACGCAAAACGATTGCGGAATTTACGCTCGCGATATCACAACTCCATCTCAAATGTCCTGTGTTCATCACACAGAATGACGGAACCATTTTATTGGCTTCTCAAGCTTCGAAACTTCCGATCAGGACATTCTCAAGTGGACCGACGAATAGTATGAGAGGTGCTGCGTTTCTTACTCAGAATGAAATTAAAGAAGCTATGATGGTTGTTGATGTTGGGGGAACCACGACTGATGTTGGACTGCTGCTTGCTAATGGTTTCCCTCGTCAAGCTGCGGCTTTTAGCGAGGTTTCGGGGGTCAGAACGAATTTCTCATATCCTGATGTGAGGAGTATTGGACTTGGTGGTGGTTCAATCGTCAGAAAACATGCGGATGGGTCGATGACAATTGGGCCCGATAGTACGTGGTTTCTTCCCTAGACGAATCTTCTCCATGCTAACATATTAAAAGGTCTTGGATACCAACTTCCACAAAGGGCCATTGTTTTTGGAGGCAATACAACAACAGCAACAGATTATACAGTTCTCGCAGATCCAAGTTCCGGAATCGGCGATCGTTCACTCGTCCTGAAAGCAGGGCTAGATGAAGACCTGGCCAGGTTCAAATCGCTGATCAAGAAAATGCTAGAAAGAGCGATTGATACAATGAAGACTTCTGCGGACAATACTCCAGTTCTTCTTGTCGGCGGGGGAGCAGTCTTTGACGAACTTATTGGGGCAAGCAAAGTCGTGAAGCCTCAGTGGTCTGGCGTTGCCAACGCCATCGGTGCCGCCACTGCACGAGTGAGTGGCGTGGTTGATACGATAGAGAGCACAGAAAGGAAAACTACATCTGAAGTCATGGGAGAAATCTCTAAAAGGGCCATCCAAAAGGCAGTTGACAATGGTGCTAGTGAAGACACGGTGCAAGTTGTTGAAATGGATCATTTACCTCTCCAATTAAGTTTGCCTCTGTGCCAGTCATAGGTTTCTGACATGTTACAGTATATCGCGAACAAATCTAGGTTTATCGTCAAAGCAGTTGGAGACTTTGATTTCTCACGGATTGCAGCAGACGAACTTGCGCCTGATCCCGAACCTATTTTAGCGAATGGTAATATGAGCGAATACGAGAAAGAAGCAGTGAAAGAGGAGACCATAAAAGAGCACTCCTTAGCAATGAGCGGTGCGGATATTTTGGCATATAAACCAGCTTTTGAGGGACGTTTGTGGGTCATCTCCGAAATTGATCTTGCCTGGATCACAATTGGATGCTATATCCTTGGAACGGGTGGTGGTGGTACACCTTACCCACATATGCTTCGCTTGCGAGAAATTATGCGAAGAGGGGGCATTGTTCGTGTCATATCTCCCGATGATCTAAATGATGATGATCTTGTCGGCTGTGGGGGTGGAATGGGATCCCCGACCGTGTCGATTGAGAAGCTGGCAGGTGATGAGTAAGTTTTCATTCCAAATGTTGAGCATCTTGAAGCTGCTAAGATACACCTTTTAGGATGATGGAGTCTCAAACCGAGCTTTATGATTTTATGAAGGTTAAACCAGATGCCATGATTCCTCTGGAGATTGGGGGAGGGAACGGATTACAAGGTATGATTCTGGGTGCTTCGACAAATATGAACCTCCCTTGTGTGGATGGAGACTGGATGGGCAGAGCATATCCTGTCTCATGGCAGACTACACCAGAGGTTTTCGAGCCCAAGCCAGTCTTCCTTCCTTCAACTATTTGTGATGGAAATGGAAATGTTATGGTAGGAATACTTCTCCAATCCCCTCTCTTCTGCTGACAGCTACTAATATGTTGAAGTTCATGACTAAAGCCACAAACGAGTTAATGGTAGAGCGAGCTTTCCGTGCCGCACTAAGTCAAATGGGATCCCACGTTGGATGCGCAAAAGGTCCGATTTCTGGAAAGAACACGAAGGGTTGGGTCGTCGAGCATACAATATCCCTTTCCTGGCGCATCGGTCGTGCTGTGGCACTTTCTAGAAGTACGAATCAGATTGATAATGTTGCCGAATCGATAATCGCTGAGGTTGGCGGCGCAGACTCCGGCATGGTTTTATTCAAAGGGAAGATTGTCGGTGTAGAGAGGACATTAAGAATGGGACACGTGTATGGAGAGGTCATCATCGAGGCAACTGATTCGGAAGAAACAGAAGGGAGTAAACCTAAGATCAAGATCCCTTTCAAGAATGAAAATATTCTCGTCATCCAAGAGGGCAATGATGGAAAGGAAACTGTAAGTCCATCCAATCCTCAAATGAAAATGCCGAGACTAAAGCTACACAGATCATTGCATCAGTACCCGATCTGATCTGCGTGATCGATGCTCAGAACGGAGAGGCTATTGGCACCCCGGAGTACCGATATGATCTTCTCGTTGTGGTTTTGGGTATTGTTGCGTCTGAGAAATGGACTTCAACGGCAAGAGGGCTGGAAAATGGGGGCCCAAAGGGGTTTGGGATGGATGATGTGGTTTATAAACCTTTGGGCGTTTTTGAGAAGCCGAGGAGTGTTATTGATGAGTTTGCGAATTGTGGTTCGAAAGTCGTGTAAGATGACGGGAACTCTCCGTTTGGAAAGACTTATGAATGTTAGAGTAGTATGATTACACATAGAGATTTTTATGTTCTATAATGGAGACCTACACATACCGCGCTGTGCCTTTGGGAAATAGTCTCGTACCTAACAAACATTTACGTCGTAGAGACGTCCGCTACCACCAATTTCTTCTTATCAATGTTTTTAATCCTCTTTCTCGGAGTTCGGTTTTGTTGTATGTGCACAATTATTTCAAGAGTTGGTAATTTGGAAAATGGTTGCTATGGTCGCAGCGCCAAGCCCTTTTTCGCTTATGAATTGGCATGGCAAAACATCGCTTCAGACCACCAGAAGTGCACACATATTATTTTGAAGCACAGTACATCGAAACAAGTCGCAGAAGAAAATGGCACAAAGTCTGAGAGGGCCCCAGGATTGACAAGGTCTCAGGATTACCAAGTCCTTGTCGTGTGGCCTTGGCGGTTGTGTTATGTTCGAGACTATGCCCTCTTGCACGATCCTCCTCAAAGAGAAGGGCGACCAAGAATTGCATAGCTGCAGTACATAGCTAGCTACCTTGAAATGTGCCTGCCTACCCCCTCAGTAGCGGAAAAGCCTCGGCACACAAAGGTAGTATTTACAATGTATTGGGGAATAAGAACTTTGTCCGCCGCTTATTCGACCCAGCCCAGGCACGAGGGTGACAGAGTCCAGGTCTCCTAGCAAACTGGTTAACGTTTGGTACTTTAATTAGCCAACTAATCAATTTTCAGTACTTTCCTGATCATATGGTGCCAACACCATATTCACTCTTGAACTCTCGGGGAAGATGAAAGCTGAACAAACATGTCATGCCTATCCCGCTCGTGGGACTTTCCTGTCGACGCCTTCGGGACGATAATCGGGGAGCAGAGGAGGTACACCGCTTTGATGTTTACCTGGAATGAATCAGCCGTGTCTCTCTCATACCTCGTCCCATCCACCAGCCTAGCTCGGTGTGGTGAACAAACGCAGGCCCATTGACCTATGATATGATGAAGTACGTGGGTGGCGATAGTCCTTAGTGGCCTCTGCCTTAGCGTCTCATCATGTTAGTGAGGCTAGTCCCTGAGAAGCGCGGTATAGAACGGGCCCTCCAAGCCGTGTCGGGTCTAAGTGAATGGACTTGTAGATGTTGGTTGACTTACCGTTGGAATTCATTCCCCTCGCACAAGTATAGGCGGGCAGCAATGCCGAAGATGCCCACCTCTCTGCAATGTTCCAGGATCATTCTACCTCGGTTTGGTTGTTTGTCCTAGAGTGATGCCTAGTAGCGATGTTCACCTTGATGAATTGTGCCTAAAGTTGGGGAACGCATCGAAAGGTGCGCACTCTTCCGATGGATTCGTGGGTTTCGGGATGTGATGACTTGACACCTGTACGCGGTGCATCCTACGAACCTGCAGTTGAGGTACTACTCCAGAGCCAAGATTGAGTCAATAATTATTTTTTCTTTCGTCGTTCCTTGTAGATGACTTGAAGTTTTACTTTCGTCCTTCCTTGTAGATGATTTGAAGTTTGCCCTTCGCCCAAGACATAGCTTGATGTACTGTGTCTCTGCTCTTTGATACTCTCGACGTTGGTGTTACACCATGAAGCTCCGACAATGTCTAATCTTACGTGTCGTAGTCAAGTCTCAGGATTAGGGCTAGAAGTGGAGTTAATCAAGCGTCTCGAACTGCCATTCACCTTCACGCCTGACTCCCACAAACAAATTGAGATGTATGTCTATTCATCCTATCACCTCCATACTTGCCTCAAATCAAGAGGTAAGTCCTTGGGCATGTTACTTTGATACCATGTGAGTTCCCAGTGAGAATAACCGCAAAAGCGACATGCTCTCAAGTCCTCCCAGCTAATAGCCAGTAGGTTCTAGTAGACATATAAGCTCTGCCAGACATCCCATCAAGACGCGACGATATCTTTCACAAATCCACAACGAGCGAATATCATCACAACAACTCAGCAACACCGCGCACAATCTACTAAAGAGCAATTTGCGTAAGAGCAAGTCATGAAGATACGATATTTCGAGGAAGCGCCGTGACGCCAGAAAAGTTTGCGGATTGGGCCAGGGGTACATGACACTGCAACATATTGAAGATGACAGAGGTGGGTTGTATCTGACTATCGCTCTCTCATTCTACGAATATTATCTCCGTCGTATTTCCTTCAATACTGGAGTCTTCGTTGACTTCAATTCGTTACTTTTACTGTCCAGCAGCGATGTGTACTCGAACTATTCTACACCACATTCCTCCCAACCACCAGAGACTTTCACTTTCACCGTCACCCGCCAATCCCTCCTCAAACTCCTCTCTTTCTGAATCTCGATCTTGAACATACTTCTATGGAAACCTGCGAGCGTGCAGATAGCGACGTTGAGATGGAACACCACTGCACCTTGAAGCACCGATTACCAAAAGAACCATCAACCAGACGGCAACCACAGGTAAAGTCAAGCCATCCTTTTCACAACAAATGACCGATACGAAAGCCGAATCGATGTCTTGCTCAAGCTCATTTTGCTTACCTATCGGTCCAGAACCTCAAGTATCCTCATTAACACTTCAACCTTTCATCACAAATCCTGGGAGCCAGGGAATTTCCAGCTCATGCTCTCATCTATCGAGATTGTGAGTCTATCCTTATACCAAATCAACTCTTGGAGTATATCTCAGCAACGGAGCATACACCCAGGGACCATGACACATTGCACACAGATTCCAGCACCCATGTAAAAATAACATCTAAATGACACCCATGAATTATATTCCTCATCATCACCGACCTTTTGTACTCGATACCAAAGCTCATGCCAAACCCACCATTCCACCATAACCATAGGACATACCTCTGTCCCCGAAATGATTCATGATTCTGCAGATCTTCGTCTGACATGTACTCAAGACCTCTTATCATACCGGCTCTTTCCCCAAAACTTACTCCCGCAACCAAGGTCGCCAGCTCAGCAATCGAAGTCAGTTATGAGTCAAAATTTGTTTCTTAAGACCAAACAAGATGGCCAAGATACAGTAAAACGCGTGCCTATATAGAAGTATCCCAATCGCGATTCTGATTGACCTAGAAGGATCCGGAGACTAGATTATTGCTCCGATCAAAAGCATCCTTTGTATGTTCCTCAAAATCACTTCAGCCATACATTGTGAGGAAAACATGTTGACTGCGCTGAGAAGTCTTTCACCGTTGTCGGGACCTAATGTACCAGCTATTTGGCTGAGATACCCTTTATATCAAAAAAGAATTGAATGAAAGAAACTTTTAATCCTGTTCGAGCAATCGTAATCATCACCGCGATAAGTATCAGCTCTTCAGACACCCCAACAAAGTCGAAAGACACTGCAATCTCGCCATCCCGCCCGCTATTCCCATTCCATCATCTCCATACCGCACTAACCCGTCAACGACCTCTCCCCGCTGTACTCAAATTCAAACCCAAAAAAACCCATCCCAACCCCATCCAAAACATCAAACATCCCCTCCCCAAACCAGCACGACCATCCAATCCAACCATAACTCTCAGTCCTCCCACCAAGCATTCCACACACTCAAGACAACCTCCCTTAAATCCCCCAGGATCTTCCCGCACGTTTAAAAAGATCTTTCCTACCCTTACACTAGGGACTGGGAGTATTCTCAATCACTAACCACCAACCACCAAAGACTTCCATATAATTAAAACTCACAAAGAAGTTGAAATAGGTAATCCCAGTCTTCTCGAAACTGCTTGTTGGATGGTTCTAAATATACATTTATCATTTATGGTGTTAAAACTTCTGGTTCTCATCTTGAAGAGTCTTTCTTACCTAGATTTTCGGGATGGCATTATGTAGTCGGTGAGTTGTTCACATATAGAAGTCGAATTTCAAGACGGTAGGTACGTTCATCTCGGTCGACGGCGGGAAAATATGTATACGTTGTACTCGTCTTCATCGTGGAGAGCAAACAAGACGAAATTAGCAAAGCTGGGTGTCGGTTGATTTTAGTGAGCGAGAATCCAGTCAAATCCAGCACTGGCGCGTGGGCAATTGGGGGGAGAAGAAGACTTGCAATTCTTAGACCACGTAATTCCAGATAATATAGGGACTAAGACAGAAAGATATTTCAAAGTTTTATAAATTTCCAAAAAGAAAAGTCATGTGCAAGGTGATGTTACAATTCAACATCTATGGGTACGCTGTAATCTTACCTACCTTCTCATAGCCCAATCCAACCTTCTTAACCTGGTAACATTTTCTCATTAACCATCATTGGAACTACAATCATTCATTTTTCAACTATGGCTTGACAGCATGGATAGCAGCCGCGAGTCTCTTGACGTTTCCGGACGTGATGCCAGCCACGGAAATTCTACCATCCTTAGTTGCGTAGACGGAGTGCTGGGGTTTGTTAGGAACATTCATGAACAAGTATCATGTGATTTAGAACCTACCTCTTTGGCCAATTTATCCATCTGTTCTGGAGTCAAACCAGTGTAGGCGAACATGCCAATTTGGCTGGTGATGTGGCTCCAGTCATGCTTTGAACCTAAGCTCTCGAGCTCTTTCTTCAAGAGAGCGCGCATGGTGATAATTCGATCAGCCATACCCTTGACCTCGCCCAGCCATTGCTTGTTCAAAGCGGGGTCATTCAAAATGGTTGATGCGACACGGGCACCGTGAACGGGCGGGTTGGAGTACAAGGGACGGACGAGAATCTTGATTTGAGAGTCGACACGCTTCTTCTCATCGGCATCCGCGCAGACGACGGAGAATGCACCGACACGCTCACCATAGAGACCCTGATTGTTGTTAGTGATAAAACTGAAAAATAAAAAGTACTTCCACATACCATGTTTTTAGCAAAAGATTGGGCCAAGCATGGGTTGTGTCCTTGCTCCACAAAGTGTCGTACTGGGAAAGCATCTTTGTTGGTGTCTCCCGATGCGAATCCTTGATATGCCATATCGAAGAAAGCATAGTGACCACCAGCCTTGACGACATTGCTAATCTCCTTCCATTGCTCGACGGTTGGATCAACGCCAGTTGGGTTGTGCGCGCATGCATGTAGCAAGAATGCGCTTCCCTTTGGAGCGGCCTTGATATCGGCAATCATTCCCTCGAAATCCAGACCAATTGTGTCCTTGTTGTAGTATCTGTACTTTTCCACCTCCAATCCTGAATCCTTGAAGACGGCAGCGTGATTTGCCCATGATGGGGTTGGAATATAAATCTTCTTTGCGCCAGGGAAGAATCGCTGGAGGAAAGCACCACCAATTCGCAGAGCACCGGTTCCAGAGATGGATTGTGTGATGACTAGACGATCGAGAGCACTTGAACCCTCTCCATATGCAAGAACAGCAGCGGCCTTGGTGAATTCAGGTACACCAGTGATTCCCGCATACTCCTTGTTCAATTCCTGAGCGACGACGGTGTTTTCGGCGGTTCTGACGGAGGGGAGGACGTATGGCTTTCCTTGGTCGTCTCGGTATGCGCCCACACCTGTAATGGAGTTAGAAATGCATCAATTCGGCTCGCAGATGTTCGACATGCCCAAGTTGATCTTCTCCTTGAAGCTATCGGCTTTGAAAGCTTCGGTGATACCTGGAACAACAGTTAGTTAGGGTAACCACATGCAATTTGGAATCTTCGCCTCTAAGCAAAACATACCAAGAATGGCCTTGACAAAAGCAAATACGATTAGCAAAGTGGCGTCGAGACATTAATCCTTTTTGAGTACTCACATCCTGTTCAATTGTTAGCTGAGCTGCGGATCTTGGGTAAATATGATTGACGTACTGGAGGACCTTGAGGCACATTGGCCCATGTTGATGCACATCTCATGGCAGCAACATTTCGTGTAGCTGAACCACGGATCGCCGTCTGTCGGGCCGCGATTCTACCAGAGGAGAGCATGATGATGATTTTGGGGAGGAGTTGAAGATGTGTCCAAAACAATTGTCTCCGAGACAGTCGAGTCAATGTCGAGATGTTGGAGTTGTAGATTGAATGTTGACCTCGGAAGTGGTGCGATAAAAATGGCCCAGCGGGAGTGTCTTACATAATCTGCCAAGAGCTGGGGAGATCTAATCTCTAACAGGGGTGACGATCTAATACGGACCCCGAGCGATCCTCCACATCCATCTCTTCCCCGGAATTGTGTGGGAAATTTGCATCTTCAGAGCTTCGATGACGTCGGGTCAAAATTACCCTCATTTATCATCTTGGAAAATAGGACAATAACCGTCTTGTACTGCTGTGCTACTCGAGTTATCATTCCTACCCCCATCTATCCCCCTTTCGCCTGAAAGTTTATCACTCCGTTCTTGGTTTGCCTGATTGCGGCTCTGTGATCATAATACATTCAGAGCATCATGTCTGAATCTCGCAAAGCCATCATCGTGGGCATCAGTGGATGTTCATCAAGTGGTAAGACGACCTTGAGTCGCCTACTCCGCGACATCTTCCCAAATACCTTCGTTCTCCACGAAGATGACTTTTACAGACCCGAGACCGAGTGAGTCCCTGTTTAATAGTCATATTACCATGGGGACTGATGAGTATCAGGTTACCAAAGAAACACGATCTCCTCGACTGGGACTGTGCCGAAGCCTTATCAATCCCCAGCATGGTAAAATCATTGGAACACATCCACGCTCACGGGACATTTCCAGTTCGTTACTTCTGTATATCCTTATATTTCCCTTGATAACTCATATCTCCAGCCCAATCTCGATTCCAAAGAAGATCAAAACATAGTAGGCAAATGTCCCGTCCCGGACTCCACAATCGCCTCCCTCAAAGCCACCGTCCAAGCCTGGACCGCCCCGGGCAAACCCGGTCACGCACTTTTCAACTCTCCAACACATCCCCTCAAACTGTGCATATTCGACGGCTTCCTCCTCTTCTCCCCTTCCATGGCGGAGATTCAGTCCCAGCTTGATATCAAGCTCTTCCTCCGGGTAAGCTATGAGAAAGCCAAGGCGAGACGCGAGGCAAGAAGTGGGTATGTGACGCTTGAGGGCTTCTGGGAGGATCCTCCTGGCTATGTAGATAAGATTGTTTGGCCCAATTATGTGGAGGATCATCAGTGGATTTTTGAGGATGGGGATGTGGAGGGGAAGGTGAAGAGGGAGGTCTTGAAGGAGTGGGCGATTGAGACTCAAAGTGCAGGCTTGGATGTTGATATGGCTGTTACTTTGGAGTGGGCGGTTAAGTTGTTGATGGAGATACTGCCGAAGGTTGTTGGTGGTGGGTCACGGACTGCAATGTAGAGTGTTGGAATTGTTGTAATGGTATACATCTTTTGTATAACTTTGCTTGGTATCACGTTTTTCTTTTTCCAAAGATTGATATTAGATCTTAATACTGTACTTAGAAATTTAAAGGGTCAAGTTTCATTTTGGTGAGGGTGCAAGTAGAAGTCGTGAAAAGCCGTCATCTATCAAGAAGAGAAAACAGTAAGTACAACCCAACTCATACCTGTCGCTAGTTCAATTTAACGATATACAAACTCATGCAAGTCCATTCATATCAATCATCTAAAAACTCTAGACCTCAATTACCTGACCATGTAGTACTACCTCCCGATCTCTAGCAACTCTCAACACCTAGCGTCTAACCCTCTTCCCCACCTCTTTCGTCCGACCCCAAAGCTCATCAACCTCTTCCTCAAACTTAATAGACAACTATCTATACTTCTCTCCAATCCCATGAGGTTGAAGTTCAAACTCACCCACTTCCACGCGGGCAACGCGGTAGATCCATCCACGGATCTTCAAGCGAAGACCACGGAGTCGGAGACATAAACGCTCTGAGGGCTTTCTGGTAAGTGCTTCTGCGTTGTAGATGTACATATCCCCAATTCCCTGGTCCTCTTCATACGCTTCTTTATCCTCTTCATTCCCAACGTTAAAAGTAGAAGACGAAGAAGAACAAGAAGCAACCGGAGAACTACAATCTCCCCGCTCAATACAAAGCCCACAGATACCTTCTAAATCCTCAACAGGAGGGACATTAAACGTACATCTGTGGGGCTCCTCCTCCGCTTGAAAGGACCTTCCAACCGTGCAGGAGAACTCGGAAATGTGTCCGCAGGTGTGGAATACTATCATTGGATCGCACAGACGGTTTTGGAGGGCTGTGTTGCTGTTGGAGGGAGCTTGATTGAGATGTGAGGGAAAGGAGGTGGAGAGGCGGAGGGTGAGGGGGAGTTGCGGGGCTTGACTGGATGGCATTTTTGGGGGTTCTGGTGTGGCTTGATTAGGTACTTCCTGTTTTGTGGAGGGTTAGTGGGGATAGCAAAAAGGGTCACGGATGTGATGGGGAATAGAATGGTAGTTTTGAACATGATCACATAGATTGTTTCGCTTTGTTCTTGTTGTTTCAGAGGTATTGTTCTACCAGCCCATGAGATGGATTCTTTGTCTTTTTTGAAATAATTCATTTGTCTTCAATGATTTTCCTTTCAAATGCTCAGTTGAGGAACCAGTACCCTTTATCCTAGTCACAAACGCCACAGAAACCTTTATCATTAAAATCACGACAATCTAACCAAATCAAGACCAAAACACGACAAATCAACCACTATAAACTCCATCCCCTTCCATACCTCTTCTCTCACCACCAACCTCTCGCTTCACCACCACACCCTCATACTTCCCAAACCCACAAATCTTGCAAAAATCAAAGTTTTACACAAAATCAAACCAAACCAAGTTAAAATCGAAAGTAGCGGTGTCACTCTGAAGCAAATATCTTGCTACTCCCTACTTGTAGGTTCAATGATAGCTGCTACGCACCTTCCTGTCCCTTCAGACTCCTTCGAGAGTTTGCCGAATCTTATACGCTCCCGAGGGAGCTGAAAGAGTATAAGAGATGTCCGTGTGGAGAGGTGAACTGTACGGCTTCTTCTTTCTCTGAGTCTTTGAGTCAGGAGGAGGAGGAGGAGTGTCCTTGTGGGGAGGTGGGCTGTAGGGCATCTTTTGTCTCGTCTTCCTTTAGCGAGGAAATAGAGGAATGTCCATGCGGTGAGATGTATTATTCATCATCTTCCGCCTCATCCTCTTCTAACTCTTTAGCCTCGTCTTCTTCAGGTGAGGAATGTCCATGTGGAGAGATGTGTTGTACATCATCTTCCACTTCCACTTCATCGAGTGAAGAAGCGGAGGGATGTCTATGCGGAGAACCCAACTGCTCAACCTCTTCAAGCGAAGACGAATCGGAAGTTTTCCAGATCCCAGGTGAGTTCCCCCACGACATCATCATTACCGACATCTCTTCTGAGCGCGAGGGTGAGCACTACTCATTCTCCTCCGACTCCGAGTCAGAAAGCGAAACCTCCTTCCACAGCATCCCCGGTTCCTTCCCCAACACAACTCACCTCACCGGTAACGAACATCTTCGAGCTCTCGAAGATGGAATTGAAGGAGACCCTATTGATCTCCCACAGAATCGTCGTACCCTTACGGTTCCCCCGGTTGATATCTCTTCCCGAGCAAGTGTTCGTCGTCAGACGATCTCGGAAGATACCCAGCGCCGACGACATGGGTGTGTCTCTGGTTGTTTTGGATGTCCTGCTTGTGAGAAGCGGGGGGATGATGCGGATGTTGAGGATCTTGATTTGGAGGCGGGCGAGATTGATGAGGGGAGTCAGTAAGAGGTAGGTACTTCTCTGGTTTGTACTCTCTCCTTTGAGACCCGTTCGGTAAGTTTTTACACCTATATCTTTTTAGATTCTTTCTTTCTACTCGAATTTCCTATTGTTTTCGATCTCATGCTGTAGAAATCTCCTGTGCAGAATCTCTAGGTTATGTTTAGAATTCTTGAGAGCTGGTTTCTTAAATTAAACTCCTTTTTTTTCATAGCTTATACTTGTCCTTTTCTGTGCCCCATGTGATATAAATTGATTTCTGTAGCCGGTTGTATTAAGTAAGAGAAATAAAAATGCGCTATCTCTAAAATCGGATTACTTTATACGCTACTTATTTGAACACCGATGCCACACTTTGCTTCAAAACATACGACACCTTATATGGTATCTACCTTTCAATGTGAGAAATGGAGAGTCGGAAACGTAGCGGAGCTAAGGGGACCTGTCCCCACCACAGCTTCGGTGCGGGTGAGGGTACTTTCTAGAACTACTGGAATGGGTCATCCTCTTCTTCTTTTTGTCACTCGATTGTATACAATTTAGGGTTAGGGTTAGGGTTAGGGTTAGGGTTAGGGTTAGGGTTAGGGTTAGGGTTAGGGTTAGGGTTAGGGTTAGGGTT